CAGCACCTGTAATCCCAGCTACTCGAGAGGCTGAGGCAGGAGAATTGCTTCAACCCAGGAGGCAGAGGTTGCAATGAGCCAAGATCATGCCACTGCACTTCAGCCTGGTTGACAGAGCGAGACTCCATCTCAAAATAAATAAATAAAAATAAAAATGCTTTTCAAAAATCCAAATCTAACCACACCATATGAAATGTTACTTCTGTGGGAAGATTATATGGTCTGCATGTTGGTCCACATTCCACTCATAAGCCTAGAGGTCCCTGATCTCATAGTTTTATTATTTTCTCTTCCTTGGGGGATGGGCCATGATACTGCTGAAATGCTGACCTACATCTAATTCTATATCCAATACCCATATCCACACAGCTGAATATACATTTGGGTTCACTATCAGGGAAGGGATATGGACAGGATATCACACAGCAAAACAACAGCAAAGCAGTAGAACCAAGGTCTTGATCCTCTCATTTCATTGTTCCTGTTCTCCCATCATAATATTATAACTGTTTTTATGAAAACTGTTCAATACAGTGCATGGCACATAGTCAAGGGGTCAATAATGTCTCCTTAATTGGGCACCAAGCTTTGTCCACAGACTGCTTCATGAATATGAATATAAACATAAAATTCCTCAGAAAATGTATTCTAAATGTGAATAATATGTGCTCTCTGTAATATATACGTATATATCATATAACTGTATCAGAAGGAAAATTTAAGCAAGAATCCTTCTAAAATATTTCCAATGACTGAAGATTCTCCTCCAAATGTACAAAGCACAAAATGTAAAAATGTCATTCATCATTATTCATTTTTATACTATCTATGCATTCATTCATAATTTAGATTTATATCTTTGTTTTTATAACAATCATTTTTATAGGTGTTTCCTCCACTGAAATAATTAACTTTGAAGAAACAACTATTTCCTTCTTTATTACGGAATGCTGATGTATTCAGAATCATTATACATTGACATCTGCTTTAATTCACAACTGTTTTGCTGTGTGATATCCTATCCATATGCCTCCCCTGCGGAACTCTGAACTTGAGGGAGATGATTTAGGGTATCTGGCAGAACAAATTTCTAAGCAGCAAAGCATTCAAAAGGCGACTGGGGTGCTGATAAAAGCATTCCGTTTTATAAAGGAAACAGAGACTAAATGCACAGCCTGACCATGCAACAGAAAAGAAAAACCCATTTTCTGAGGAGAAAGTCAAGCCAGTCTCAGAAATTTGCATAACAAAGGTCTAATGTTAATCATCAAGACAATGGGGAAAATGTCTCCAGGACATGTCAGAGATCTTTGTGGCAGTCCTTTCCATCACAGGCCCGGAGGGCTAGAGGAAAAATGGTTTTGTGGGCCAAGGCCAGGGCCCTCCTGCTGTGTAGCCTAGGGACTTGGTGACCTATGTCCCAGCTGCTCCAGCCATGGCTAAAAGGGGCCAAGATACAGCTTGGGCCATGGCTTCAGAGGGTGCAGGCCCCCAAGCCTTCCCAGCTTCCACATGGTGTTGAGCCCGCAAGTACACAAAAGTTAAAAAGTGAGGTTTAGTAACCTCTACCTAGATTTCAGAGAATGTATGGAAACACCTGGATATCCAGGCAGAAATTTGCTGCAGGGGCAGGGCCCTCCTGAAGAACCTCTGCTAGGGCAGAGCAGAAGGGAAATGTGGGGTTGAAGCCCCCACACAGAGCTCTAGTGGGGCTTTGAGAAGGCCACTGTCCTCCAGACCCCAGAATGGTAGATCTACCAACTGCTTGCACTGTGAGCCTGGAAAAGCTGCATATAACTCAACGCCAGCCCAGGAAAGCAGTCAAGAGGGAGAGTATACCCTGCAAAGCTATAGGGGCAGAGCTGTAGCTTTGGGAACCCACCTCCTGCAGTGCAACCTGGGTGTGAGACACAGTGTCAAAGGAGATCATTTTGGAACTTTAAGATTTGACTGGCCCTCTGGATTTCAGACTTACATGGGGCCAGTAGCCCCTTTGTTTTGGCCAATTTCTCCCATTTGGAACAGCTGTATTTACCCAATGCCTGTATCCCCATTGCAACTAGGAGGTAACTTTCTTTTTATTTTACAGGCATAGGCAGAAGGGACTTGCCTCATCTCAAATGAGACTTTGGACTTCTGAGTTAACACTGAAATTAGTTAAGACTTTGGGGGACCGTTGAGAAGGCATGAATGGTTTGAAATGCAAGAACATGAGATATGGGAGGGGCCAGGGGCAGAATGATATGGTTTGGCCGTGTCCCCACCCAAATCTCATCTTGTAATGTAACTCCCATAATTCCCACGTGTCGTGGGAGGGACCCAGTGGGCAATGGCTGAATCATGGAGGTGGTTCCCCCATATTTTTCTCGTGGTAGTAAATAAGTCTCACAATATATGATGGTTTTACAAGGGGAAACCACTTTCGCTTGGTTCTCATTCTTTCTCTTATCTGCTGCCACATAAGATGTGCCTTTCACCTTCCACCAAAATTGTGAGGCCTCCCCAGCTACATGGATCTGTGAGTCTATTCAGCGTCTTTTTCTTTATAAATTACCCAGTCTTGAATATGTCTTTATCAGCAGCAAGAAAATTGACTAATACAACAAGCAACTTAAATTGAGTCTCAGTTTGCTAATTTCTAAAACTGAAAAAATGATACCTTTATGAGGTTAACATATAAAATAGAAACAATGCATATAATAAAACCATAGTAGTTCACAGTATGAAGTCCTGAATAAATTATAGCCATTGTCATCATTATTGTCACCGAAACCATAAAATGTTTTCATTACTGTGATTATATAAAAATTGAGAAATATCTGTAAATCTCTGGCTTTTAAAAAGTATTATCACTCTGTAGGTTTTATTGTTATTTAAAAGAGAGTACTAATCTAAAAAACAAGAAACAAGTCCCTGTTAAGCCAATAAGTTATTTTCTAATTATCTGAATTCCTTCCATGAATGTGAAGTATAGCAAATTAACAATTACAACAGAACCTCATATTCTTCCTTCATCACATTAATACAAGGATTACAAAGCAAGTACTTATAAAATCAGATCATAAGACAATTCAACATGTCAGTTCCAGTGTTCTTAATAAGTGATATTAAGTGGAAATTTCACAAGTGTATGAATAAGCACTCTCAAAATTCAACTGACATAGTCTTCTGTTGTTAAGTCCTGTATCTTTCACTGTAATAAGCAAATATTAAAAATATACTTTCTGGTATTCAAATCTGAAAAGTACATAATGTTTATTACTAATGCAGAAAACTGCTTTCAACAAACATATAATCTCAGGCTATGCTTTCATTGGATCACTGACCAAGTGCCTTTCATTATTATACATTCTATAATCATCATCTCATGTAAATATCGTAGAAAAATACTACAACAGTATACCTAACTAGACCTTCTCCAGACCATTTTTAACCACTGCTTTATAGTCTGATATCAGTAACCAAAAAAATAATTAGAAAACCCTACAGAGTTTGATTCTATGATTTATCTATATCTACAGATAAATCAAAATTACTGTATATAATTGTTAAATAAAATCTGAAGCCAGTGGTGATTTTTCTAACAACAGTAAACAGCCACTAAAATACAACATTTACATGTAGTGGTTAAATGAAAAGAAAAAAACAAAAACACAGCCAGGTGCAGTGACTCACACCTGCAATTCCAGCACTTTGGGAGGCCGAGGCAGGAAGATCCCTTGAGGCCAGAAGTTCAAGACCAACCAGGGCAAAAGAGTGAGACTCCATCTCTACAAAAAATTTAAAAATTAGCCAAGCATTATGGTGCATACCTATAGACCCAGCTACTGAGGAAGCTGAAGTGGGAGGATAGCTTGAGCACAGGAGTTCAAGGCTGCAGTGAGCTACGATCACGCCACTGCACTCCAGCCTGGGGAACAGAACAAGAGCCTGTCTCTTTCTTGCATACTCTCGCTCGCTCTCTATCTATATATCTATACATATATAGATATATATATCTGTATACATATATATGTATCTGTGTATGTGTATGTTATGTGTGTATATATATCTGTGTATATATATGTATATATATTTTTGTATATACACACATACATATACAGATATATATACCTGTATATATATACAGATTTTATATATATACATATGCTGACAAGAAAAATCATATTTTTAATACACACATGCATAAAAGAAAGTTTGGAAAACTAAATAATAAAGATAATACAGATGATTTTTACTTCTTTCTTTAAACTTATTTACATATTTTTAACTTTCTAACATAAAAATGTATTCGCTGTTTAACTTTTTAGTTTTAAAGACGTTAACAGCATGAGTTAAAAGATCCACTCCACAGTTTCTTTTCTTAAATAGATGGATGCTGTTTTTCTATCCTATATATCACAGAAGTCAATGAAAATGTTTATGGAATAAATACATAGAATTGAACAACTGAAAAATCTAGGTCCCAGGAATAGGAAATACAAGCTCAAAAATAAATGATGGCAATATGCATAAAGAAGGCAATATTCTTATACTGACCAAGATAAATAAAAAATAGAAAGAATGTGAAAAAGAAAAGATAAGAAGTAAAATCATGCATGTAATCTAAATAAGAAAACTTAAACAGAGATTCTTTTCATATCAGGATCTCAGAATCATGAAATAAATTTATATACCAGGAATTAAGTCCATTTCTCATCTAGATGTTTCCCATCCTAACCTATAAAGAACCAAAATCAATGGTATTTAAACCACATTAATAAAGACATACAATACCCACAAAATCCGTAAGTACAAAGATTGCAACTCAGTATTTACTGTTGAATTCATAAGCCACATCACTTTGCTCCAATGCTTCCTTTCTCAAAAAGGTCACAAAAGCCAATTCAGAAATATTTTGTTCTAACACTCAAGAGCTCAAAGTGCACTTGTGCAAAGAGGGGAAAAATAAAAAAACATGCTACCAGCATTAGCAGATTCCACTCAATGAAATCAAAGTAATGCTTGCTTCAGCAGCATGTATACTAAAATTGGAATGATAAAGAGATTAGCACGGCCCCTGCGCAAGGATGAAATGAGTCAGTGGCTAGAGAGAATAACTCATACATCTACGGCACACAGAACAAGCTAGTTGCATCAACTTCAGAATTCCACTGGCAGACTCAATAAATAACAAAAACACTTGCTTTATCAGATACATTTGAATCTAGTGATCTCAGGAAATGTCTCTCACTGGCTAAGCAACCATCTTATCAGTCTAAGTGACTACCCCTTTTTACCTTCAATCTAAAGAGTAAATCAACATTACTACATGAATTAAATAAAATCTCGGGCAAGTCATAATTTTTCTAGCAATTTATATAACATGTACGTGTACTAGTTAAATAAAACAAAACAAAAAACACCAGTAAAGTAATAAATAAATAAAACCTATCAGAATCAGCCACCTTTTTTTTTTTTTTTTTTTTTTTTGGTGAGATGGAGTTTTGCTCTTGCTGCCTAGGTTGGAGTGCAATGGCATGATCTCGGCTCACCTCAACCTTGCCTCCCTGGTTCAAGCGATTCTCCTGTCTCAGCCTCCTAAGTAGCTGGGATTAAGGGCATGTACTACTACACCCGGCTAATTTTTGTATTTTTAATAGAGACGGGGTTTCTCCATGTTGGTCAGGCTGGTCTCAAACTCCTGACCTCAGGTGATCCACCCTCCTCGGCCTCCCAAAGTGCTGAGATTACAGGTGTGAGCCACCGTACCTGGCCAGCCATCTTTTTCAACGAACATTGGATATTAAAACAGTATATCTATCTGAAAAGGAATCTATAGGACTAAAAGAAGAAAATGGGCCACAGTTAATTAAGGTAAAAGTATAGTGTTGAAAATTAGAGACTAATTATGTCACAACTGATTTAATAAAAGGTCTTGTAAAAATAATGAAGGTTCAGAATTCTTAAACATGGCCAGGCGCAATGGCTCATGCCTGTAATCCCAGCACTTCAGGAGGCTGAGGCAGGTGGATCATGAGGTCAGGAGTTTGAGACCAGCCTAGCCAACATGGTGAAACCCCGTCTCTACTAAAAAGACAAAAATTAGCCAGGTGTGGTGGCCCATGCTTGTAATCCCAGCTACTTGGGAGGCTGAGGCAGGAGAATTGCTTGAAATGGGACCCGGGAGGAGGAGGCTGGAGTGAGCCGAGATTGCGCCACTGCACTCCGGCCTGGGATACAGAGCAACACTTTGTCTCAGAAAAAAAAAAAAAAAAAAAAGAATTCTTAAACATAATGTTAGGCCAGTTGTGGTGGCTCACCCTGCGATCCCAGCACTTTGGGAGGCTGAGGTGGGAAGATCGCTTATGGTCACGAGTTTAAGACCAAGGCCTGTCTCTACAAAAAAAAAAAAAAAAAAAAAAAAAAATTAGCTCGGCATGATGGTGCACACCTGTAATCTCAGCTATTCAAGAGGCTAAGGTGAGAGGCTTGCTTGAGCCAAGGAGTTCTAGACCATAGTAAACTGTAATTGTGCCATTACATGCCAGCCGGGTCAAGAAAGTGAGACCCCCCCATCTAAAAAGAAATTACACACAAACACACACACACACACACACACACACACACATAAAATTGCACAATTACAAATAATTTTATACATATATAAAATTACATATATATGTATGTATATGTATAACATATTTTACGATCTACAAAATATATAATTAAATATAATTATAATATATAAAAATAAAATATATGTAATGTTGAATTAAAGGAAATAATATTTCCTGAGCTAAAATTTTGATTGAATATGCTGTTGTCCATGAGATAAGGCATCAGCTACATTACTTTTATATATTTAGGACTTTAGAAAATTATGGTCTTATCATATGTATAACCTGTATATATATAAAAACTGTATATAACCATACTCCTCATCACCACGGTAGCCGAACCTCCTCCTAATGTTAATGATACTGCAAATAAAAACTCTAAATGTAAATTCAATGAATAATCGGGGAGAAAGCAAATGATCTAAGTAGAATCCCCCTCAGTTTCAGTCTAGGGAGAGGTCAGGGAGTCAGGGAGAGACTAGGATGAAATCGCTAGAGGTAAGACTATGAAACAAAAAACGGTTGTACTAAGTTTTCATGCTTGGAAAGCTCAAGGTGTTGCATAAATTCAGTAGAGTTTCTCCCATGAAACTAGTTAAATAAATATAAATAAATCCAATGTTTTCAATCCACTGTTTACTTACTGGTATCCTTACCTGGATAGTTCACTCTGCTTTGAAGTTGGTTTGAGACTGAAGTAATTTTAGCAACTTGCTACTTATCTTATTCTGCCTGCTCCTCTGTTATTTCTCAGAGATGATTCAAGAGTAAAAACAGGAATCAATGGCTAGTTACTGAAATTACTAGAGACCATTTAACTGCTTTTAAAATTACAGGCATTTTTCTCAAATCACAATCATCCTGTCCTCAAATAACAGAAGCCAAATGCTGTACTTTTAAACATTAATTTGAGGTTATCTTATTTTGATTTAAAGTAAGTGTATCACTATTCTGGTATCAGTAATTATTCAGTTTTACTTTCCTAGGAAGAAGAATTAAGTTCTTGCCTGCTCATTTATTTATGGAAACAGGGAAGCATTTTTCCCATTATCCTTCTTAAGGGAAGTAAAAAGAAGTTTAATGTATGTAGCTCTTTAAAAGATATACAGATTTATGTTTAAATTTGAACAATGCATAAATTAGGAATTTAATATCTGCCTATTTCTTTTGATTTTGCTAGAACCAGACATCAATATTATCATCTGTGGGTTTATGTTTTATTTTCAAAATGAACAATGAATACAAAGTATATTTTCTGATGTCTCAAACATTACTTGCAAAATAATAAAGCTGTCTTTAAGTGTCAACTGAGAATTTTCAAGTTACATCAGTATTCTAATGTTGCTTACTGATTCGCAATTCACTAAGTTACTGTTTCACTATTACAGGTAATATTCAAGTTACAAGATACACAGCAACTGGAAACAGTATTACCCTTGAGTATCCATGGTTTCCATTTTAGAAATGATGTTGGTTTTTTAAATTTAAGAACCTCAGACGACTGAAATTCCTTCTGTGCCACTTATTACCTTGCACAATTTACTGAAAATCTCTGAAGTTCAATTTCCTCTTCTGAACAGAGTAATCATACCCAACCATATTGTTGAAGTAATTAGATGAAACATATAAAGTCCTATATAACACAGTATCTGTAAACAGTAGATGTTCAAGAAATACAAAGTATAAATATAATATAATAATAAAAGAAAAGTGCTTGGTGAATCTAGGTTTGTATCTACTAAAATGTTTAACTCTTTTAGAAGAAGAAATAAAATTCTCATTTATTTAACTTACTACTTTTTCATGATATATGCTAGATACTATGATGCTATCCTTCAAAGCAATGACAGCACTGCTAAACACTTAGTATGTCCTCAAACACCACTTAATTTAAATATTTTAATTTTATTATAGAAAATTTCAACCATCTACAAAAGTATAAATAATAGAATAATGAACCAACAGGTATCTATTACCCATCTTTGTCAATTAACAATGGCAAATCTCATCTCTACTTTCCATCCCCATCTGACTGGATTATATATAAGCAAATCCTAGCTATCATATCATTTCATCCATAAATAATTCAGCATGTATCTCTAAAATACAGTATTTTTTAAATAAAAATATTACCTTACCTGAGGAATCCACTAATCCCTCAATCACCACAAATATCCACTCAGGGTAAACTTTTCCAACTGCCTTTGACCTTTGTTTTAATTAATTTATTGACTGAAACATGGTCTCACTCTGTCACCCGGGCTGGAGTGCAGTGACATGATCATAGCTCACTGCAGCATCAGCCTTGTGTGCTTAAGTGATCCTTTTGCCTCAGCCTACCGAGTAGCCAGGACTATAGGCATGTGCCACCATGACTGGCTAATTTTCTAATTGTTTGTAGACATGAAATAAGTCTTGCTATGTTGACCAGGCTAATCTCAAACTCCTGGTCTCAAACAATCCTCCTGACTGAGTCTCCCAATCAGCTAGGACTACAGGCCAGGGCAGCCACGCCCAGCCATTGTTTTTCTTTTTTCAAACAGCTCATTCATTTGAATCAGAAAGCCCACATATGATATTTTGGTAAATAAGTCTTTTTAAAGTTTCCCCTTCCTCCATTTTTTTATCATCATATATGGCTGAAGAAACCAGGTTCAATATATTCTCTGACAATCTTTATCTTGCTGATTATATCCCAATAGTGTTGTTCTATGGGTTCTTCTAGCACTTATATTTCCTGTAAGTCACTAATTCTTAAAAGCTTTACTGAATGGCTTACCTTGATGTCTTCTGCCATTTCTACAAGCCTTCTAAAATAAATATTAATCAAAAGAACAACAAAATAGTAAAATAATAGAAAATACAAAGGAAGAAACCAATGGGCCAGAAATAATCTGTTCTTGTAACATTTTAAGCATGTATAAATGGGGCAGCTATCCAAGGTATGGCACATTTAGAGGTTTCTAATGTTTTTCTTGTAACCAAAATGGGCTTTTGTCCTCTCCCACCATCGATGACATTTCTATGTCCTCCCACACAATCTACTAAGAAGAAGGGCATTATCACCACACAACTGAACAATCTATGACTATTGCTAAGATTCTACCTAGTATGTTTGCTACTCTGATTCATTCCTTAGCCAGTGTACCAGAACCTTCAGATTAAAGAACAGTTAAGAAAGTAACAGACTTTGAAAGGATCAAATATATCCACAAGCTAAGGAGGAGTTAAATAAACAAATGGAAAAGACAACTCATCATGCAATGCTTGTTCGGCCACCTTCAAACAACCAGCCAGTGATGACCATCTATTCTGTCATTTTCAAACATGAAATACAAAATATGTACCAGCATAATGAAAATACCACTTTAAACTAGTATTGCAGTTTACTATTTTCAAAGCAATCTGATATATTGCAAAGCAAATAACAAGTGACAAAAGAGTGGAAATTTTCCATCTAAAATAGAAACTTTAGAGTTCTAAATTTTCCAAAGAACAAGAAAGCA